GGCACAGAAGTTTCACGTATTCACTAGGCAGCCATAAACCCTGTAGAAAATAGAGTACAGATGGCAAAAAAACCCACAACACCACTTCTTTAGAACTGTTTAGAGGGAAGTTTATGAGCAGATGTATAAATGGGGTTGCAGATGTTGTAAAAAAGCAAACACACCATTGTGTAAACAGGTAAATTTCCCACTAGTGGGGCATGAAGAAAACTGGAGTTTAGTAAGGGTAGTAAGTTTATCCAGCGACTTAGTGTAAATTGTGGTAATTAAGAAATGACAAATCATTTGCACTCATTGAAGTTCTGTTCTAAAGCAATTTGAGCCTTCTCCTCTCCCTCTCCACATGCCAAACTTTAATTAAAAGAATACAAAACCAAGCCAACAAAACATATGAATTAGATACATATACATATAATCTACATTTGGTTCCTTGAGCTTTGAAAGCATCTAAATTAAAAAAAAAAAAACCCACTCATAATCCCCAAATTATTTGCTATTATGATGAAATTCTTATTAATATTTCCTTGTTACACAACTTATGAGAACGTCAATGGGGTTAGGCTGACAAGAATAAACATACCAGCCTTGGCTTTACTTCTCTGTGCCTTCAAAATACCACACATGTTTCAAAAGCCATTTGGGTTTGTCGACTTCCAGATTTATTCACAAAGAAATACTATTTGGGGTAGCAGAGAAATTCTAAAAAAAACCACACAAAGCAACAACTTTCAGCAATGCCAGTCCTTCCCAAATGTTACACTTCTGAAGATAATTTATGGTCCTTGAAGGCCATGACTTTGAAAGTAAGCCTACATTTTCTAATCTCACTTTCAGATTGGAAAGTGTCTAGTGGAACACATGCTCAGCTCTCTCCAACTCCAGTGAAGAATTTTAGCCTCATTGCATTTCATCAGCTAAATCTTTTGCTCCCAGTTCCACTCATATGGATGCTGTGGTCTCTCTGCCATTCTGCCTCATGATATCCACAGGGGAGTAGAGTGGTGCTGATGGAAACACCTTTATGAGACCTCATCCTTCCCCCACGCCTGTGCTGTCTTTTGTGTTGACATCCATGTCTGTTTTGGAAAGAGAAAAATGCGTTCGCACATACACACACACACACACACACAAGCAAAGTGCGCATGAAGGACTGTGAACCAAAGAAACGCATGAAACCCCCCATTTCATGGCACACTCAGCTTCTGAGTTAGCACTGGCTCTGGTCAGGGCAGGTTTTTGTCATGCCAAGCCATACAGGAATTCTATATAAGCAAACTCCCAAACCTGCGTGCACGTTTACATACCTATACATAAACGCTTGTGCAAGTAGCATTACTTAAAAGTTAGGAGACCAACTTTTTCTTTGATGTCTGGTACTCTTTGCTACAAACAGTAGGTGCAGACACAGACAAAACTCAGATCACTGTCCCATTTGTAACTCCTTCCTTGACCTTAATGAAGAGATAGCATATTAGTAACCACTCCAAGCCCATCAACTTTAAATGTGTAAAATTACCTTTGAAACCATCTGCAATTACTTGCATTTACAATGGCTTCCACTTAGCAGCACCAATGTGACTACATCGTACCTTACCGCACCAGACATCTCCACTGCTTGCAGTGGCACAGGCAAACATCTGCATTTACAGTTTTGTGCTCACAATATTGGGATCAGTGTTGAAACTCAAGTAAAATCCAAGGTCCTCACATATCTGTGATACTGTGATATCAAAATAAATAGACTGCAGTTCCACTGCCTAACTGTGTCAGTAACTTGCCTTGTGCATTCCAAGCAGGCATCCGTTCTCACTTATGTTTTCAAAGCTGCCTAACACAAAGTGGTAAGGGAATTGATGCTTCATTACAGGAGGGTATCAACACAAGGGCTTAAGGCTGAATGAGGTTAAAAAGAAAGCTGAAAGCTGAAGTCTTTTTAGAACATCTCTGTAAATGTCAGTGTTCAGCACTCCCTTCCTACCAAGACTGCAAGCCATGCTCAAATGTGAGAGCGGTTTTATTCTCTCACTAGACACTTAACAGAATATAGTATTTTAAGCTTGCTTTACAGCCATTAATGTGTCACAACTGTAGAAAAAGACAAAGAAATGCAACTTTTTAGAAGAGTGTGAATGAAGTCTGGGGAGAAGCCTTTAAAACTGACCTAAGAGAGAACATGTGCAGCAGTATCACTGTTTTGGCCACCCCTCAGAATTAACTTCTCTGGCAAAGGAAGGATCTCACAATCCACCTCTGAAAAGGTCACACCAACTAGCCACTGCTAAAAGTGGCTACCTTGTCCCTCCTAAAGCAGAAAACTGTAATCCTAAAGCTGATCGCAATCCTTGAGGGTTACATGGAAAAAGGGAGGATGGTATGATGCCTTCTGCCACACTTTGAAATCCACCAGTGCTCTACACATTTCTGCAGAGAGCAAGGGAAACACCTGGGTTTACTCCGGAGAGGGTAATTCTGCTCCTTCAATTATTTATTTTTCAGTAAGTCAAAGAACATGAAAAGACATTATGAATCAAAGTTATGTTTCCAAAACCAGGCAAACACCACAGGGAGCAGAGGTGGCAACTTATTTACAGCCTTCACAAACACATTTTCTCTATCCCAAGAGGGGCTCAAGCTTCCAGAGCCCTGAACTAGATTTTGTACTCCCCTCAACATATTCAGCTCAAAAAATCTCTGGTGTGATCAGAAATGGGGTTTGGACCAGCCCTGTGTCTAACAGTCATTTACAGCAAATTCCACCTTTTCTGCCTGCTCACAGATCTCAGCCACAATAAAATACCAAAGGGAAAAGGGCAAAGTAAGCAACCTGTAAAACTTTTCAGCACACTTTAATGAATTGCATTTTCAATGATAACGACCTCACGCAACAATGCTAAAAAGGCCCTAGTCCAAAAGGATTTCCCTAAACATGAAGCTTTTCAAGTCCTTTGCTTAGGTATCTTCTGTAATCCAGATTGCGAACCATTGCTCCTATCAGAAAGATGGCCCACAGACATTCTGAGAAAGCGAACATTATGCAACCTTGGCAGAGCAGTTTAAGTGGTTAAGAAGGGAAAGAGAAATGTCTATTTCCAAAAAGGCACCATCACAGCCTGACTACTAGGCACAGAAGCCAGATCACAAAACCCTGTTTTCCCCCATGCAAGGCAGAAGTTTCACAATTAACAGTTAAATAAGGAAACAAATGTCTTGCTGAAAATTTTCATCAAATCCATATCACCATCAAGTAGCATCCTTTCAAATAGCACTTTTTACTGTAAATACCAAAGGAATTAACGAGGATCAACCCCCTCATTTAAAAATATTACAGTACCACAGAGCAAGAAAGGTCATGTTTAAGGGGAATATTTTGCAGCGCTGCAGAAGCAGTATTAACACAGAAATGAAAAGGGGAGGGAGAGAGAGTGCCAGAACAGCCCCCGAGAAAGCAACTGAGGAATATAACACCACTTTAAACGACAGAAGGACCCACAAAATGACTTGCGGCTTCAGCCCTTACCATGAACTCCTCCAGGGTCTGGTAGGTTTTCCCTCGAAACTCGCAGTAGTTCTTCTTCTCTTTGCACTGCGGGCAGCACTGCGTGGTGTCCACCTGGATGCACCGCGGGTGCAGCCGGGGGCACTCGGGCTGTATGCACAGCGGGCCCTCTTCAGTGCACAGGCAGGGGCAGGCAGAGGGGCCCGGCGCAAACTTCTCCCCGATGGCATAGACGAAGCCGCTCTCGTCCACGCAGCCTTTCCCTCGGTAGTCCGGGTAGGCGTACTCCTCCGGGGGTTCAGGAGTTACACTTGCAACAGCGTCTGGGAGAGACGAATCTTCAGCCACCTGAGCTTCCTCGGGAGCAGCGTCCCTCTGCTCTTGCACTGCAACGCTCCCGGATTTACTGCCTGTCCCCTGGCTGTTCCATGCCTGCTTTTGCTTAGTCCAAGACTCCTTGTTCGAGTAGTTCCTGTTCCCTTTGCTCTTCCAGTCCCTGCTCCCCTCCTCCCTTCCGCTCCTGCTGATCTCATTCATTTTCCCCGGGCCTGTCTGGCTGTCCCTCGTAGACGTGTGATCCCTCTTTTCCTGGCTCGCCTTTATCTCCTGCTTGTCTTGAGCCTTGGCCAGTTTTTGTACAGGTATGGTGGAGCTACAGAGAGCAACCATGAGGCAGCAGGTTACGAGAAGAGAACTAGAGAGAGCTCCAATTGCCATTGCAGTAGAGCTGGGCATCACCTACTGCATCCCACAGGGGACACTGCATTCACATCGGAGGGAAGCGCTTCACAGATACACAGTCCCTAGGAAGAAAAGGATTAGGAACACTTCAGCTTCTGCACTTCTTTCCCCCTGCGCCCCCCCCCCCACTGCCTCCACTGATTCAACATCTCAAACAATATGCAACCTGTCTCGGTAGTTTATGCAAAAGGCAAACAACAGCCTGGGTGCTGCATCCCTCCTCCGCCGCCCCCACTCTGCCAAGTCTTACAAATAGCAGACCTCTGGGCACGGACAGGGCGCCTTCGGCTCCGTGAGAGCGCAACGCGTTACGTCTGGGGAGTTCGGATTCGCAAAGCCAGATGCATGCAAAACCCAGAACATTTGAGGGTTATTTTTCTTTCTAAATGACAACACGTGAAGAGAACGCACGCTGAATTAAACAGCTCCCCAAAACACAGGAGAGTCCGGAACAGAAATCACCCGAGTGAATCCTATTCGCTGACTGCAAGCACGCTGGCTGTCATTAACCTCTTATTCAGTCTCAAGTACGCTGTAGGTTTAGGGTTGTTTATTTACTTACCAGTGAGCACATTTCTGTTAAAGACGACCGAAATGAAGTACATTAAAGCGCGTACAGCCAGACTATCTCTCCTCCGAACTACCTAAACAAGCACATACCACCCCTTTCTCCCTGTGTCTTAAAGGCAAAGAGGAGCCGTTGAGTTTCCGCAGCAGAGGCTCGTTTAACCCACAACCTCCAGTAGCTCAGCGCCGCTCCCGTCCTGAAACCGCGGCACACGAAACTGGAGAAAACCAACCCAGAACGCGTACACTGCACCTCCGGCCGCGATGACCGACGGCACTCCAGGCTCCCGGCACGGCCCCACCTCCGAGGTATGGCTCCCTAAACCCATGTAGAGCCTCCCGCTCTCCCCGCCCGCCTCCCCCGACCCTCACCGCGGGGCAGCGCGCTCCGCCTGCTGCCCAAACTTTCCGTCGGGACGGGCAGCACCGCCCGACCCCCTCCCGGCGGGGTGGTGAGGAGCGGGGTTCAACCCCTTCACCAGCCCGGCAGCCTCCCCCAGGTGCCCGGCCCGACACCTTCCTACCTGCGCTGGAGCCGGGCTCAGCCCCGCCGGCGGCTCAGAGCTGCAAACCTCACCCCGCGCCTGGCTCCCATGGCGGGGAAGAGGGCGTTCGGCCGGCGTCGGCTTGTTGCAGCCCGCCCGCCGCCGCGGTCCTGCAACGCCTGCAGCGCAGCGCAGCACGGCACGGCACAGCGGCCAGCCGATCCAGCCCCGCCGCCCCAGGGGCGGGCTCCGCCGCGGCACCCGTTCCTCTCACATCGCGGCCATGCGCCCCCGTCCCCGGGGGCGGCGGCAATGGGGCAAGACGGGGCGCTCCGCGCTGCCCACCCGTCCGTCCTCCCTCCGCCGCCGAGCCGGGAGCAGGGCGGGGACTCGCCGCTCGGCGGGGGGGCGGTGGCGCCTGGTGCGACCGCACGGCGCCCCTGCCCGCCCCGCCCCGCCGGTGGTGGTAGTGGGGGGGGGCGGTATGGAGCGGCTGACCCGGTTGTACAGTGGGGCCCGCTGGGGAGATGACGGCGTCAGGGGGGTCTCCCACAGCGGGAGATGGTGCGGGTGCTGGGGGTGGGGGTAAGCGGGGCAGCGCGGGCTCCTCCAGGGTCGGCCCCGCACACCGACGGATGAAACTTTTGCTGGTGTAAAGGTGTCAGCTCGGGATGGAAGCTCCGCGGAGCCTGCGGCGCGGCGGGAATGGGCGCACTTTTCGCGGTGTGAGACGCGTACCGGCTGCCGAGGTGGTGGCCGATGCGGAGGGAAACTTGCGGTATAGCCGCGTCCGGGGAGCTGGCAGCGTTTAGCCGGGGCAGCGCCGGCGGTGTCTGCCTCTGGTGCCCGTGCTGAAGCATCAGATCCCCCTACTTTAGCTGTCTCCTGCTAGCCTTCGCTCGCGATGGAGCGCTACACGATTTGCTAGCTGAAATTTTCACCCATGCTCGTGGATGGTCGATGAACACTTAAATGTAATTGCGTTTTTCTCCTTTATGCTTGATAGAGAGAAAGGGGCAGAGCCGTCTATTACGAATGTGATGGCTGAAACACAGAGTGTTGGGACAGAAATGCAGAAGAAATGCTAGAGGTGCTTTTGTTTTGGAGCTGAGCAAGGGCTTGGAACCCAAAAGGTTATTTATTTACGTGTTTGTTTATTTTTAAGCCGCATTAGATGACATACCAGTGTAATCTAATGAGTTTTGCTTTACAGATGCTCCAGAGCAGTCCCAGCTGCACTAACCCTCTTCCCCCGGTAGTTCTTTAGCAGCCTTCTGTGCCCTACTCGTGGCTGGGGCTGGATTTCCCGAAGTGCTTGGTGCTGTAACTGAAATTTTTAGGCTATGTAAAATTTTCAGATTATTTTTCATTAAGATGGGAGCACTGCAGTATCAGTACTCAGGAGAGCAATGAAAATCTGCAGGATACTAATGTTTCACTGGTAAGTACCCTCATGAGTGCCGGTTATTTGTGAAAATCCAGACACTTAAACTCCTCCACAGGAGGGTGCAGGTGCTAAACTCTTTTAGCTGTTAGGTTCTTGTTATAAACATCTATGAGTCCTGCCTAGTTTACAAAATCAGTTGTATTGACACCATCTCATGTCTCCCAGTCAGATATTAACCAGCTGAACAGTGGCTTAATCTTCTGAAACTTTAAAAAACAAGACTGAAGTTTTGAAGGATACAAGAAGTCAAATGTTTCTGTAGGCGGCAGGAGTTCTAAATTGCTATGGGGGTTTTCTAGACAAAGTCTTACAGGGTTAAGCTACACTTTTCTCATTACCTGACTGACAGTCATTAAGAAGTATTTGCCTTCGAATTATTGTCTCGTTACCTCTGAATAAAGAATTAAATCTTTGCCTTTTCTAAAAACAGTAGTTTTATGTCTTATATAGCTTAAACCCTGACATGGGGTGATCAACCAGGATGCAACACTGCTAATTCTAGGAGAACTTGAATGACCACCCTTACCTTGTGTTCTCAAGCTTATAAGCTTTGCTGTCAAGCAGCAGCTAGTTGTGGCTAAAGCAGGACAGAAGGAAATGGGGGACTTGGGAAGGCAATGCTACATGTGTGATAAAGAGGAGAGAGAAGCCAGTTTATGGTTTTGACATTTTCACATGTTCCCAGGTGAATCTTTGGTACAAAGTCTGGGATCAGCATACAGCCTTCTCTCTGTAAGAGCTCTGCCTCTCTCAGACAGATCAGCCAGGGCTGGAGGTTCAAGATGCTGCTGTGTAGCAGGAAGGGCAAAACTTTAGAGAACTTTCACAGTGACAACTGCAGCTCATCCTAGCCTTCTTGGCAAAGAAAGAGGTAAATACCCTCATTTCTTTTCCTGAAAGATTTGTCATTGGGTTTAAGCCTCTGTTTATTCATAGATATATTAAATGATGGATTGTACCTGACACTAGGACCCTTGCAGAACTGCTTTGTTATAGCATCAAATTGCAATATATTATAGCAATATGCAATATGTTGTAGTCCAAGTGGTCAAACAGCAGATATGTAAGAAGTATTTGGTGTTTTCTTGAGTGTGAATTTTGAACTAGAAGAAAAGAGAAACATGAAAATCTGTTATTTGAAAACCACTTTTAACAATGTCTTTAGTGCGAGTTTTATATTTCTTGTATAACATATAAGGCTGTGGAGACAAGTCCTTCTTTCTTTGTGCAGGATAGGCATGGCATAAAAACATAGGTCCAAGTTCCCCCACTCTGCTCTCCCCCTAGGCAACACTAACAAGGAACTGTGTCTCTGGATAAGAATCAAATTCTGCATCCCATTCAAGACGCTTTCCCTTCTGCTGGATCTTGCCTGCTTGATGAAAACTTTGCATTAGCCACATCAGAGCTGTCATGAACACAAAATTATCTATGCTGATTTTAGCTTTATTTTACTAGGAATTAGCTCATTTTTACTTGGAAACAGTTGAACGGAAAGTAACTTGGTAGCTGAAATAAAAATGGTGCTGGAGAAGAACGACTGGAGTTAAACTGGTGCGATGACAATCTCCATTAGACCAGGGTCAAGACAAGTGAGTGTGGACATCCAGGCTGAACATAGGCTGGCTGTTTGGAAAGCTTAATGAAACGTCTACTTCATGAGATTAGGGGGATTGAAATTTTGAACAATATTTTTATTTTTTTTTAAGAATGGCCTTAGTGTGAACGACAGGAACCCAAATGTAGGATGTATCTTATGCCAAGTTAAAAAGGGTTGTCTGCCTCGTTAATAACAATATAAAACTAAACCCCCATAGCTATGCAGACATTTCATCTAGACATCTAAGAACAGTGAGACAACCACTTTTAGCCTAATACATGGATAAAGAAAGGCCCAGGATATGGGCATATGCACGCAGCCCCCCACACCAGATGATCACTCAACACATCTATCCCTTCACAGGGTTTCATGCAGAGCATGCTCCATTTTTCCTATTTAATAAGTGTCCCCTGGTGGCCGCTGTCTTCAGCCAAGAAGACATAGACAGAAAAGAGGAGAGTTCCATGAAAGCCTGTGGAGCTGGGCAGGGCATGTCAGCAGAAGAGGAGCCTCAGTACAATTGAGGGGGCGATGAGGAGGGTGTGTTTAGAAAACCCCACTCCACAGTGATATTGGCTTTGGTGACAGATTGCTGTCTGAGCCCTTGAAGGTGACAATGTGTGCTCAGGGGGAAGAGTATAGCAGGAGGTGTACTTTGTGTGTGCCCATCTCAGCTCAGAGGCTCTGAAACAAATTCCGGAAGCAGAGAGGGAAGAAGGTGTTCCCAAGGCAGGACTCCTCTGGGAAAATGGATAGTCATGCCTTTTTATTTTGTTTCATTTCATTATTTCTCCTGAAAGGAAGAGAGTTGTTACAGGAAAGGTATTTTTTATTGTGGTGCTAAAGTGGCAGTTGTTCAGGCAGGCTCACATTGCAGCCTTCGAAAGGTAGCAATTTGTGCAACAATATTAGTCCAGCCATATAAAATAGGGCCTTCAAATAGCAGTCAGTCTGAAGGCAGAAAGAGAGAAACAAAGCCAAGGTACATATTACTCTAACAAATAATGTGTATTTGAAAAATTCGATTATAAATAAGCAATTTAAACAACTCTTAAAAAAACCCAAGCAAACAAACAAGCTTCCATAGCTATTTTTAAACTAGGTTAGCTTTCATCTTTTTATTTCTTCTATTTCCTTTATGCCACTTGGCAAAGGATACTGAACATGTACTGCTCCAGTTCTTTCTTTTTTTAGGAGTCTGATAGTAGTTATTGAAGAAGTATTACACAAGCTGTACTTACAGTTGTGTCTCATTAATTGTTTTTAAATTATTAATTTTTTTCACAGATAATGATGTTACAACATTTTTCTTCTGTTTTGCATGCATGAAACCAAAACTTAAATGACAGAGGGGCTTCCTCTGTCATTTAGAGCTGACGATCTTCAGTAAAAGGACTCTCTTTAAACTTCTGTAAATCACAGTTTGCCCGGTGGGAAACAAATAATGATTTTTATTTTAAATTTTGCTTTTTACTTTACCCCAGCTGACCCAAGGGATATTCCACACCTCATGACATCATGCTCAGCACCAATGGATATCTCAGAATCATAGAATAGTTTGGGTTGGAAGGGACCTTAAAGCTCATCCGGTTCCAACCCACTGGCATGGGTAGGGACACCTTCCACTAGATCAGTGAAACATGGTCTTGAACACTTCCTTGAACATAGAATCATAAAACCATTTAGGTTGTAAAAGACCTTTAAGATCGTTGAGTCTAACCGTTAACCAGTTTTCATTTCAGTTTCTGATTCCAGATTCATTCCAAATGCCAATTTCAATCCAGTTGGTGGCAGCAACAGAAAATGGCAACACAGCTTAGCATGATATGGGAGGTAGGATCAGGCTCCACATAAGACTAGTTTTGTATGTTCCTAATGTGAAACCTAAGAAATATTTGTGATATGGAAGGTGCATCTTACCAGACTGTCCAAACAGGTTAAAATGAAAACCAAACAGCTGCTCCAAGTGACTGTCACATTCTGGTTGTAAATTCTCAACCAAAACCAGGAAATCTTAAATTTCTTCTGTGAAGTCAGCTATACTGACTTGTAATAATTTCTTTTTATTTCAGATCCCAAATTAAATAAAACCTGTATTATTTGCTATGACTAAACGTGAATAACTGCCAAATATTTAGAAAGAAAGCATATCCCATTCCGTATCTGTTTATGCTCGGCATATAAAGCTGGGGGAAGAAGTAGGAAAGAGGGGACATTCGAACTGATGGTATTTATCTTCCGAAGTAACCATTACATATGATGGAGCCCTGCTTTCCTGGGTATGGCTGAATACCTGTGTGCCTGTGGAAGCAGTGAATGAATTCCTTGTTTTGCTTTGCTTTTGTGTGTGTCTCCTGCTTTTTCCATTAAACCGCCTTTATATCGACCTATGAGTTTTCTTACTTCTCTGATTTTCTTCCCCACCCCACCAGGAGGGGTGAGTGAGCCAGCTGCATGGTGTTCATTTGCTAGCTGTGGTTAAACCATGACAGCCCTTATTGGCTCCCAGTGTGGGGCTTGAAGGGTTTGAGGTAACAACAGGTTTGATTGGAATGTGCTAGATTGAATTTATAGCTGTTATTGCTGTTTAGCGACTAATTGACAGATTCCTGTGATTGCCTTGGGGTGGGCTTGCTTGCCTTACTGTACCTAGAGTCTAGTGCTCATTACTGGCTGCTTTTTGCTTTCGCTGCTCACTGTACTGCTGTAGTGCTGTATTGCTGATCATCTTACTGTGCTGTGCCTGGGAACATTTTGATAAGGGCAATGGCGATGCGCCTGGGCTGGCAGATGGCCAGGGTATCACTGCTGTTTCTGTGCTTCTGTACTAGGCAGGCTGGAACTCCAATGTGAACTCGAATCAAACGGACTGTGACCTGTGGATGGGTCCATGCAGGAGGAGGACACCCTGAAGTGTCTGTGGCTGTGGATAAGCCCATGCTAGAGCAGATGCATCTCAAAGTATCTTTTCTGATTCTGTTCCCCACCCCATGAGGGGTGGTGAGCAAGTGGCTGTGTGGTGCTTAGCTGCTGACGGGTTAAATCACAACAAATAGAAATAAAATATTTTTTTTTAAATTTAAAATATCCTAATTTAAAGTATTCATAACGAGGCTTGTTCCAAAATGTGAGAAAGAAGACTGGCTTTGTTTAACAGAACTCAGAAAAGCTCTCTTTCTGTAATGTGATCAATTTCTCTGCCCTGTAAGCTCTGAGGAGATTCTAATGCAAGTATTCAGCCTCAGTCCATGGTTCTCTTCTAGGTCCATGAAAGAGAGAGGGAAATACATGCTGCCTTTGTGTGTACAAGATGTCTGCAAGTTCTGTTGCTTTCAGTCACTTTTCTATTCTTACATGCCTGTTACATCTCTAATGGACTTTCTGCCATTATAAACTTCAGAAAAGTGGTATTATGATCTTAACCACAATAATTGACTAATATTAAATATTGCATAGTGAAACCTTTGGAGAGAGAGGAGGATTCAATTTAGGACCTGTGCATGTGGACTCATTCTGAGGAAAAAAATAATTATCTATTCAAAGCACAGTATTTTGTGCTTGTAATTACAAGACACAAGAGTGATTATAAATGGATTTTGATGCACCTATTTTCACCACATTTCAGTAACCTGGGCAAATTGGATGTTAATCATAGCTCACAATGTTATTTGGTATTTGTGCCTTTTTGCTTGAAAACAGGGAACAAAACATTTTTTGCATGTACATACACATGGACATGCAGAGAATAACATAAAACATTTAATACACCATCTTTCATATAAACAAGTCCTAATACTATACCTTGTTTTTCCCTTTTGCAAAGCTAAAGGATGCACTATGAACATTTTCAGTTTTTACATTGTCACTGTGTTGGAAAACTGAACAAAGTATTTCTTAAGCTTGTGTTTAGCTCTCTTCACATAGAATCTGAAATTTGGTTGAAAGTACAAATCAGCATTACTTCTCCCTTTATTATTTGTAATTTCATTCTTGCTCTACTTACAATATTTAAGTTTCTTTAGATACATTTGTGTTTACAGTAAATTTCTTCAATAAAGGCAACATCAACTATCACAAGGTTTACAGGGAAAGAAAGTCTATTCCTCTACTGTTCCACATTTTAAGTTAATATATCTCATCCTTTCACTGCTTTTTAATAGTACTGGAAGAAAATGCACCCCCAAAAAAACAAAACCTCAGCTTTGCTCTCTCTTTAGTTTTTACAGGATTGCTTTACTTTTGTCGTATTAAGCACTGAACTAAACTTAAAGAGTAAATGGAATTGAAGAAAAAAAATATATCTTATATACCTTACAGGAAGATAGGGAAAAATAAACGCTATTACTGTCAAAACCGATTTAGCACTGTAACCCATGCCAATATTTACTTCCATTCTCTAACTTGCTTTAAAACTTCCATACCAAGAATTGTACTGTTTAGAATTTGGTTTTTATTTAAATGATTTGAAAAACAGCATAGGTTGTTTTCTAGATGACCTATGTATATGAAATATAACTGGTTTAAAAGACATTGTTCTTATTCAAATACTCTGCTAATACTGGTATAGAGTCAAACATTCACTGTATGGTTGGTAGCTACAAACTTGTTTTCCACAAAGACAAGCCATTAAAAATATTTTTTCCAAAGTTTCTGCATTATCAAATGTGTAAAATGCTTTCTATTACAACTGAACCATTTAAATTATTTTTTCGTTTTGCTGGAGAAGCTAATGAAACATATGTTGAAATTAAGTTTTCCAAGTCAAGAATTCGAAAATTAAAGAATTCACAGTATGTGTGCAAAAGCCTGTGTTCTTCCCATGGTTTATAGAATTAACTACCTGTAATATAACTGTTTGCAGACTCCAAGAACCATCATGCCTCTTAGGAGGTATTCTCCAAAACTTGGCAGAGATATAAGGCCTTCAGTGATACACTTTCCAGAACACATCTTTGAACTTTTCATGTTGTTTGCTCTGCTTTTCTCTCATTGTTACTATCCAGTTAGTAAAAATGGAAGCTTTTGCAATGACACTCGGTGCGTAATGCATGCACATCATACCCCGCTGTCTTCCTTACGTTTTAAACCTGCTGGCTTAGTTCAAACAAACTTGATGAAGTGATTGAATTCTTAAAGCTTCACAAAAAACAGGAGGATTGGTAGAGAAGAGCAGCCTTAAACTGGTTGTTACTGAAGGTGTGCTGTGACCTCATGCCTTGTTACAAACCAGCAACCCCATATGTGATGGTACCCATATAAATGCCCAGACTACACAGGCACAGAGGTTACAACTTGGATGCTGGAGTTAACTTATTTAAATACACCAATCACTAAGAAAATTCTGCTAATTCTGGTGTTGAAATCTTACTGCTTTCCTGTCTACAGGAAGCCTTACCCTTTTACGTTACTGTAGAAGTCCCTGTGTCCCTTAGCAAGTGCCTCTGATACAGTACTAGGTAAGCAGTGGATTATTTTGTTGCTCTTTTTAAATTAAAAGCCCAGTAAGGCTTTTAAATGGATTCATATACATTTGATAATGCCATCATTTTTAAAACTGGACAGATTATGATTTATAACATATTGAAAGTTTCATGAATTGAGATTCCCAAATGTTCTGTCTTTAGATCTAATTACTGGAGATTATTATGTTCAGGACCTTCTGCAATCACAGTGACTGGTGCAGTTTTCTCTCTAATGACAGGTACATGGCTCAGAAATCATGATTTAGGCTATGAGCTGTCAGAGCAGAGAAAAAAAAAAAACAAACCCAAAAGTCAGAGTAAACAATCCTTGGGCAAGAACTTAAGTTGGGAAAGAAACAATTATTTTTCTCTGTTTGCACATAGGACCTAAACACCCCAGATGTAACAGGGTCCCCTTTACATAGGCAGTGCACAAATGTTTAATGAATTGGCTGGTATGCCTAGAACTGTACATTCTCCAGTGACCAGAAAAGAAGGGAAAGGAGAGCAGAATGAGTGGCTTGAAGTCATACAGCAGGTCAGTAGCTGAGCTGAGAGGTTAATGTAAAGTTCCTGTTTCATCTTCCCTTTTCAATGCACCATTTACTAGCCCATGTTGACTTTATTCCCTAGTAAGATACTGAGTACACATTGAATAGCTGGTGTCCTATGTCCCTTATATATGTATAAAAATGTAGGTGCTCATTCATGCAAAAGACTTGCTGCCTTGCTCCAAGTTGTTGCCACCAGGCTTTGATGTACTGATCTCCCTAGGACCACTGAAGCAAGCAGGGTACTCAAGCACCATGGTACAAGGTCTAAGGTAAAAGAAATAGAATTGTTCTGTAATTGTGATAATGAATGCAAGTTGGTCATGCTGGCTGAATTTACTATTTGTTGGAAGAAGGTAACAGGAAACAATGCAATGCCCATGGCTACCCACAGCATAGCCTGAGATCACAGGCAGAGCCTGGTAGAGTAGACTTTTCAGATTAGGTGCTTGCAAGATCAGTGAAGAAATTGACAGCTTAGGTGCTTACAAAAGCTCCCCTCTGACAGTAGTGACCAGTAAATCAGGGACCAAACACCATGCAGAGCTACAAGTTTCCTCCCTCCCCTGCCTGAGTACATTTAACCCCACAGTCCTACCTTCCCTACGCACCAGGCTACTGCCAATTAAATTCTCACTTAATAGTGGTTTGCTTTATACATATGAAGCATTTTGTTGGAGAAGAAACCAGGACTCAAGTCATCACCTCTGTCAGGGCAGAGCAACTCCCGCAGGAAAATGTAGCACACCTCATCTGACAATGGTCTACAGCTTGTCTCACAGCGCAGAAATGGATTGGATTTGAGGTGTGTTTTCTTCTAGTAGTTCTGTGAAATCTAACTCTAACCAGAAAACGTTCCATAAACTGAACCCAAATAAATTTTCATGTGAATGGGGTCCTATGCTCTAAGGTGTCAGTCCTTAAGTCTGAAAACCTGTTGAACTTGTTTCTAGAACAGAAGTCATAGGCCAAGAGCTGCCAAAAACTCTGGGTAACAAGAATAAAAAATTGCATCCTGTTCTAGGGGTAAAATAGTTGTTGAAAACATACAAGGATATTAACCCAAATCAGCCATAAGTTGGCTTCCCTGAACCAACCATCCCTAACTGCGTAATCATCACACTGTTAAACTCTTGCCTTTGAAGGTTTTCAAAATGCATCCCTCCTTCCTCCATAATTAAAATTTATGTGCTTTAACATGATTACTGACTCTGGAAGCAGATTCAGGCTGCTGAACCAGTGTGGTAATTTCAGAGAGAGCAGCTTCTGCCTAAGAACAGCGGCAGCAGTATAGAAGAAGAAAAGGAAGATGAATGCACATGGTATCTTCCAGACTCAGAGAGCATTTCCACAGTCATAGCTAGCCAAGCAAGTAACTGCAATAACAAAGAACCAGTTTGTCAAATGACCTCAGCCTACCAGGCACTGAACTGCTCTGAAAAATGTGGCTATTAGTATCACAGTGGAAACGGATGAATGTCCAGGACTTGAAAATTTAGCCCTTATCATGCCCTAAAACCATTGCCCAGTTCTTTTACTTAGTTCCCAGCCACAGTTCAGTGCCCATCACTGTTTTCTACAAAATAGGTAACAGCTGAGAAAGCAATCTATGTGTTGACATTGAAATGAGCTTTGTTGCACTAGCTGTTTGATTTCTGAAACTTAGGGTGTTTTTTTCTTCATGTCATCTTTTGCCTTCCCTTTATTACAAGGCTCCACTTAATTATTTCTTTTTCCTGACAAATTGAAGAACAGGTTTGTATTTGCACATCTGCAGTTTTCATAGACTATTGGAATGAATTCTAAAACTCTTATTCAAGAAATTAGTTTTTGTTTTACACCAGTAACTTCTTCATAAGGATCATCCAAAGAACTGGGAACCTGAGTTATTCCCTAGCGCTAAAGCTATCATACCATTCACTCTTTTATGCCTGATATTCTGTTGGAGGTTCATTTTCCTCCTGTGTCTGCTGGAAATCAATCAGTTCCAGTTGTAAGTTTGTTTTTGTATTTAATTAAGGAGACTAACAATTGATGTGAGTTGTAGCCACAAGAGCAGATGCCCTTGCCAGTACTCCATCAAAAGCTGGCTGGGGCCTTTGGGGAGATCCTTACATAGCAGCTTGCAACCACCCTATCGAGTCACATTTTTCTCTGTAAATTAAATTTCTTTTAAAAGTCTCCTTTTATCCTGAGGCTGAATTTCTGTTCCAGTAAATTCTGATCTACAGAGACATGTACTTCCCATTGAAGTTGATCAGAGCTGCAGGTGACCACTGCCTCTACAGCTCAGCCCCCAGGCTGGATTTCTCCCAGAGTACGAATATGTTATTAAAATAAGGTAGCTCACTATTGTGCTCACAAAAGTGAGATGGTTGATTATGGCACAAACTCTCCTTGTCAAAAGTTTTTGCCTGGAGTTTATTTTAAATCAATTTTTCTTCTTTTTTTTTTTCTTCTATTGTGAAGCCTTAAGTAAGGTGTAAACACATAAAAACAGGTTCCCCAAACTTGTCCACTTTTTCAATTAAACAGAATTGAATGAGATAAAGGAGAAAAACCACAACCAAACAACCCTACTTTCTCCAGTGCTTTTTTCTTAGTTGGGATTAATTTTTCTTAAAAAAAATAGGGGTTATAACTGCTTTTGCGAAAAGAAAATATCAGGCACACCTGAGGTTTTAAACAAGCAGTTTGTGCTGTTAAACAAATCCATGGTGAATGGTAGATGGAAGAAGAATCCCTGAAGCAGAGGCAAAAATCGAGTAGTAGCTCAGCAGGTCTGTACCTAGGCTCTTGCTTTGGTACTAGTGGGATTTCTTTGATAGGTTGACTCAGGCTTTTGATAGAAGCAAGATTTAATGAGAATATGTTCACAGCTTCCTTTGCTGCCTTAGTTCATATGTTTGGTTTCCAGGTTTGGTGTTATACATTGCTGTTTAGAGTCTGCATTGCACAGATCACAGTTGTAATTGAATTTCACTGCTCTTTTGTGCTGCAGTGCTCAGATTACACAAGAAAAGGCTGCTCTGTTTTGACGTGTACCTGACAGAGAGTAATTTGCCAGGAAGCTGCGTTCAAATTAAAGAATAACATTTTGCCCTTATTCTTGGCAACCCAAGACTAACAGACATACCACAGGATAAAAGAAGCGGCGTGGATAGATATGTTACTCCTTTTTGCCAGTTGGCAGCTGGACAATCAAGGGCTCTTCAGTTATTAAAAATGTTTTATTATTTTGTTGTTGAGTTATAGCAAATGGATCCCACAATTCTTCTTCATGTTAAACAGAGGTTTCAGTAGGTGATTCAGGAAGAAAACTGCTTTAGATGATCCATTAAGTTCTTGTCTACAAGAGAGAAATTTAGTGTTGTGCTGGTGTGAGAAGACCTCAGTCCCCAGGGTTAATTGATACAATTGCTGAAAAGGGCTGTCAAAGCCAAACCATCAATTATATCAAGGCTGTAGAAGCTTGATGACAAGCCTCAGGTCAAATCTCTCAGCACAGATGCATGAGACTTTGTCAGCTGTATTGATGCTACATCAAGGAGAGAAAGAAGTAGTAATACAGGCAAAACTAGAGTGATTTGTCCAACTTGCTGGGGCATCATAGCTTGGATTTTTCTTACTCAGAATAGAACTAGCATAAAGAAATAATGCATTATTTTAGTTCTAGCCATCTTAAGAAGAATTTGGAAAATAGACTTGAAAATGTCATCTCAGAATTTCACACTTTAAACCTTATAATAAACAAAAAACTCACAAAACTCACAATCCCTCCCCTTGCAAAAAAATCCTATTCCTTCTTCCAGTTTTTTCCCTGCTCCCCGTACAACCTCACTGACACTAACAATAAAAGATATTTCAGGGGCGGTAATCAGATTTCACAGGGAGGGTTGGACTGGAATTCAGCATCATCACAGCCTGTTTGCAAAAGCTTTTGGTTTTTTGACAGATATGTAAATTCATAGCAAAGTATGGTCAGAAAGTTTACTGAACTAGCCCAGTCTTCTGGTTTACTATCTCTATTTGCAGTTTTGTCTGAGATCATCACACCATGAAAGGCAGAATATGAAAGGATGTGTTCAGGAAGGAGAATACATCTGAGAGAGACTTCTGCAGTGTTTTTAGATCACTGACATGTATTAAGTGATTTCCCATTTTTTTTTAAGAAGTAGAAAGTTTGATTTTGATCAAATGAAATAATTCATATTAAATTGTATTTGGTGATGAGGGCTGAATGTCACCGCAGAATATCTGATTTTCATTCTCAAAAGGCAGTTACTAACACTCTCAGTGCTGCATCTTCAGATTATCCATCTGTGATTTATAGATCTCAACATGTCTCTCCAAATCAAGGATTATTTACATAACCGTGAAGAAAGGTACATATGCAACGAAGATCACTCACTGCAATCGACTGACTAGCAATTTGCAAGGGCC